GGTAGTGAAGAATGCCTTCCTTGTGGAAGCAATACAAAAGTTCTACCAAACAAAGATGGCTGTGGCACAAATGGATGTACATTCAGTCCCGCACCTGGTGTAGATTATGACCTCTCTGCGCTTTCCCGTCCCGGCGGATCAATGATTAAAGCCAATTTACCAGGACTACACCCATGGGGTCGAAGGTAAATTCCTTTCCTTCCCTCATCCTCTTACCCAGAGTATTTAAGGGTTGTATTTGTTACGACCAAGAGGGGGTCGGAAAAGTTGTGGAGGAAAGTGTCTTCAGTCATTACTGCTGTTTGTGATTGCCTCAAAGCCCTCAACTGATTCTTCACAACCAACCGGCGTTGACCAACTTTTGGAAGATGAGAGCAATCGATGGTATATTGGAATGGAAACGAGGTTGATCGATGGATACATTTTCCTGGAAACGAGGCTGAAGGGGAATAGACCATTGATCAAGCTCGTTTCAAGGTGCGGCCGCCTAGCCGTTTATTCACGAGTGGACTAAGGAAATTGCGTTCACGGCTATCCAAAGACGAAATAGCTAAATTTCGAACCAGAGATTTCGGAAAAAAAGGTCTGAACGAAAGAAATGCAAGAGTACGCAAAACATATTGTTCGATGGATGTTATTAATTATTTTTTGAGGAGTATCTGCAAAAAAAAAATGTTTGTATCTTGAAACCGTACCGAGGAATAGGCAAAACCTTAGAAGAAAGTCTTCGAGGATATAAGCTAAGATCTTAGAAATCTTTTGAATGAATAATAAAACAATTATTGAATTCGGCATTCATATGATGTGAGGAATCATGTTATCCACCTCAGGGTAACAACCGGTTTCACTACTTGTCGAATTCTCTACGTCTTAGTTCGCAACAAATTCGCTACATATTACTTTCTATAAACCACTTAAAATATTCCTTAGTCGCTTTAGAAAAAAAATCTTTTAATGTATTTCTTGCAGTTTCGGGCTTTGCCAATAGGCAGCGAGACGAATATGTACGTGGGCCTCGGCACACCCAAAGGACGAGACTCAAACGAACTCGAACGTAGCGAAGTTGTCAAGTAGCGAAACCGTTGTAAAGCCGCCTCGGCCTTCCGCCTTGGTAGATAACAGTCTCCTGGATCTTCATGATAGACCCTCCCTCTGTTTATTCAACTTTTGACATGCAACCAGTTAAGGAAAATCCGTCGATACCACTGGAAAGATTGCCTTGAAATTAATAATATTGCCAATTTCAAAGTGATACGTCTAAAGCGTGCGAAGATATAATAGCTCCGCTAGGTTGTGAAAATTTACAGATGTTTGTATGGTGGGAGGCAAGTTTGTGCCCCCAGCCCTCTCCCCCGCCCCCCACCACACCATACAGACGTCGGTAAAATTTGGATCATTATACCCTAACCCTAACCCTAACCCTGGGAAAACTGCCCACCTACCCCTCCCCTAAGCCACATTAACACTTACTTCTCACTTAGGGCAAAATGTTGGCATAGGGGAGGGGTAGGTGGGCAGTTTCCCAGAAACGTATAATCATCCAAATTTTACAAAAATCCAATTTTTTTTTTTACAAATTTCGCGAGTTTCGGGAGCTATTTCTTCATTAGTTTTCACTAAATCACTTTCAAACTTGGCAATTTTACTAATATTAGGGTGCTCTTTTCAGAGGTGTCGACGGATTTTCCTTAACTTGTCCACGTCAAAACTTGAAAACTATTGCTAATTATCATCGTTTTCTTGTTATTGCTTTCTTTCTTTAGGAGGTTGAGCTATGGCTATATATATTTTTACAGTTCAGAATATTATTTCAACCTTTGCACCGTTGATCATGACAATAGCTCGTGCACATCTCGTGACTGGATCAGCGGTAAAAGAGTTCCCCTTCGCGTGATGGCTTGCAGGTCTTGGTACTATGACGTAAGCATTGGGTCCGTGATTGGCTACAAACGAAAACAGGATATCCGCTCTGGCTTGATTGTGGAGTTGCTTCACGGTGACAAATGTCCCTATGGAGGTGAGTGCAGCCAACGAGTTGTTAACAAGTTGTAAGAAACAGTAACAGATTGAAAATTGAACACAATAGAGGAGAGAAGTCGTTACGTCATGGTGCCATGGCAGCAAAATTTCTGGATCTCAACAAACAGAAAATTTGAATTCGCATTGTTTTAAACTTCATCGCTGCTTGTCAATTTCTTTCGATTTGTCAAATGTTGGCGAAATTTTCTCGGGTTGAATCCGAAAAGACTGAATCTAAGTTTAGAAATAGAAAAAGAAAATTGTTGTCTCGTGTTCACGTACTCCATCAAGCGGGGGACGTGAAATTAGGATGTTCCATGTCGCAGTCGTGCAACGACGGCTTAGAAATGTACAAAAAAAAACGTGGTACCCGTGCAACTACTGTAAACATACCGTTAAATTCCGAAAATAAGCCCCTCCATGTATAAGTCCCTCCAAATATAAGCCCCCCGGGGGTTTGTATTTGGAAAAATGCCCTCAAATACAAAGTAAAACAAAGCAAAAACGGTAAATTTACTTCCAACTATACGGCTAGCCTAATCGATTTTGAAACGCAAATTTCCCTCCGTAGATAAACCCCTCCGAATATAAGCCCCTCAAAAAGGGCCTTTGAAAAATATAAGCCCTTGGGCTTATTTTCGGAATTTTACGGTATTGCTTTTTTGCCGTTCTCGTTGCCGTCGCCCTTGCTTAAGGTCCCTAATGTTGTGATCCAGAAATTTTGCTACCATGGTAACGTGATATCCCCCTCGCCTCTTTATAACAAAAGCTAGCTACAAGTGCATTCGTCCTCCATTACAATCCTATAATGCAGTTCGAAACAACACCGACTTTGTCCCAGGCTATGTGCAGACGACACTCTCCGAATTTTTGATCGGTTGAAAATTCGTGCGTTTAGTTGTTGCTTTCACACGGAACCACAATAACCGCATGAAAATGTAGACGCTAAGCTGTTCAATAGAGAGCTTTAGATTGAGGACGAGTACCAGTGCGAGATTTAACTTAAAGTTTTTGCGCGTGTTCTAAAAAAAACACCTCGGAAAGCTTCATTTTCCTTTTTCTCACCAAAACAGTTAGTATGGTTATTATACTGAAGGAGGTTAAGCCGTCTCCCGATAGAAAAATGATAAAACTTCTTACATTTGATAACTTGTTCCCGCCACTACACCTAAACTCGTAATAGAATAACGACTACCACATTTTCCCGCCAAAATGACGCTGGTCCACGGGCGCGCACTACTCAGTATTGAGAAAATCTCGTACTCGTAGTTGTCCTCGTCTCAGAATCTAAAGCTCTCTGATGTTTCGTGTGAACAGAACGAAAATCTTGAACGGTGCAATGTGAACCAAGTGTGCGGTCGAAATTTCGTCTGGTGCCCTGTGCACGTAGCTTCAGTCGTAAGCTGGAAAATGGCCATTACACTTGTAAAAGGAGCGGAAGGAGAGTGGACACTTCGACACGTGCTGTTGTCAAGGTGACAAGCGCGACCAGTAATGCCCACGGGGATCTAACGCGCTCTCTCAAAGAATAGGAAGCTTAAGCAACGGCGACGGCAACGAAAACGGCAAAAGCAATATATTTAGGTTAGTAAAAGAACAACTTTACATGTGCATCACGCTTTTTTGCCATTACACATGTCTTTATCGATATCGCACAATTCCATATTTCACGTTTTATTGAGCTTGGATACTGTCCGTTGGAATTCAAGTTTTACGTGGCGTTTCCGGTGCCGTCGGTCGCCTTCATAGTTGCTTAAGCTGCACTATACCTTGATTGAAGATTCCTACCCTATCACCTCACCCGAACGGAACTGAAGACGGACCTTAAGCGACACGTGTGCCAAAAATATTTATCACAGGACTTGAGCTATGATGTGTTTTTTGATTGTCTGAAGGAAACAATGGCCGATACAAAACAACTATTGACCTCAGATGTGACGTTACAGCTGGAGTGGGTCAGCCCGGAAGAGAGAGCAACTTCTCTTCAGTTCAACAGGGCTGTGACGTTCAATTTGTTTGGAAGTCCTTGTACGCATGCCCGAAATGCCGAGAACAAGACATTACGCGGATTAAGGGAGAATGCATAAACGGAACCCGGAACGTCACGGTACTGCGTTCTATCCCATGCTGGGCACCTGATGAATACCCTGGCGCTAATGTCACGACAGAAGAGTGTGTCACGCCAACTAAATTTGTCACGGTTACAGTCACGGCTACTGTTCTGGCTTTTAGAGAAAAGGTATCAAGCAAAGTAAACAAGATTTTGATTGGCGTGGGAGTAGTGGTGATTGTACTTTTATTGGGCGTGGCTTTGTTCTTTGTCTACAAGCATCGCACGATCAAGTATCGGTACTTGAATTGGATGTCACGTAATAAACCCATGAGTCGCCTTGAACAAGAAGATGACGAAGATCACTTTATCGAGGGTGACGAACTCGCTTACCCCTCATATGATAAAGATGAGCCATTCCGAACCTGAACGAGACCCTGGTATACCACTCTAGTTCAAGTTTTCAATAGAAGTTAGAATAAATTGAAGAGGGCAAAAATTAATACCGGTTAGCGTTCTTCAAATTTGTTTTCCTACTTCTCATGTTTTTACAGCGACTTGTGCCCACAAAGCTTTCGATTCCCAATACCAGCAAACAATATACAGCTACTAAATTTTTGTCTTTATAAATTTGTGTTCGAATTTTCAAATACGGCGAGAAAAGTTAGGTTGTTTCGTGTTTCTCTTGTCCTGTAAAGGGTGCCACTAGAACGCGGGGCGGAGTTGGGGCTGGGGTAGGGGTCTATCCTTTTTTAAAGAATGCTGTGAGGGTTGACCGTAACCCTAACCCTAGAGCTAAACCTAACCCTAAAAAAAGATAGACCCGCACTCCGACCCCGACCCCGCGTTTTACTGACAACCTCTCGTAAAATTGATTTTACGATATGTAAGCTATGATTTGAGAGTTAACTGAGTTGCATAGTTGAAATTTCCCATATTTCTTTTTTTTAGTTTTTATTTTTTGGCTAAACGGACAGAGCCAAGTGTATGCATTTCATAGGTGTCTATATCAAAAAGCTAGAGACGGTAAAGAACTTTATTTTTAAAGTATGTTTAATTTTTTAGTACCGTATAATTAAGCAATTTTGAAAATTTTTTTACTATTTAAATTAGGTTTTAGTTTCAATTGCTTTTTACTGATTTGCTGTAAATAAAAACAGTTTTGTAACAATCCCTTTTGATTACAGTCATTCTTACAGTAGGCGACCAATAGTTTGCCGAGTTGTTTTTCGTAGCTCATCGAGTGAAACGCGGTCCGAGCGAAATTTTTCTACAAATCTGCGTTATGGGCGTGTCTCAAATAAACCCTCCTTGTTAAATTAATTGCAACCTCAGAGAGGTGCTAAATAAAGTTGAATTACAAGTAGTTCTTAATGGTTTTTTAGCTTGACACCCTCGCAAGCCTCTAACAGGTACTAGGGACTTTAAGATCCAACGACGCGACGGCGACAAGAACGTCGCTAAAAAAGTGAATTTCCGTTCTTTCAGTCTTTATAGCGATTTATTCCTACCCACTTGCTTTGTCAATTGTAGGCGAACCCTCCCGAAGTTGAATTTTCAAGGGACCAAATTCAAGCTCAGAAAGAGAAATAAATCGTCGTTGCTTGTCTTCGTCCTCCATAAAACGCGAAATTAGGCATTTTTACGTCGTAGTCGTGCAAAAACGGGAAAGAAATGTACAAAAAAAGTGTGACGCACGTGCGAAGTTGTTGTTTTGCTAATTTAACCAATTGCTTTTTTGACGTTCTCGTTGTCGTCCTCGTCTTTGCATCTTAAGTACACGTTTGTCGGGGGTGCGTGCGTTGCGCGCCAGTAAGGTGTTTTGTTCCCTAGTGTGACTGATGGCCAGCGTGGAAGATATTTGAAGGAAAGGATGAATAAAGGCTTGCAATAGTGTGTTGGGCGCGGAAGGAACCTGCATTTCCTTCTTTCTTCTCCCGCGTCTTTTTCTTTTTTACTCGCGCACCTTGAACTGCCCACCGACCCCTCCCCTAAGCCAACATTTTGCCTTAAGTAAGAACTAAGTGTTAATGTTGGTTTAGCGGAGGGGTGGCGCAGTTTCACAGAAACGTAAAATGATCCGCCTTTTCATTCATAAATCAAGCGATTGCCACGCATACCAGTGAGGTTCACCGAGTGCGTGGGGATGGAGTGCGGGGACAATTTTAGCCATGAATGAACGTCCCGAATAATTGCTCCTGGATCTACGCGGATACAACATTCAATGCCTACAGTGCAGGATATAGGTGTAATAAGGGACTGTGCAATAATTATCTGGAGGGGGGGGTTCTAAAATTAGCAAAGTAGGCCTTAAAATAAAGTTGCACCCCCCCTGAATTGAAGTTAAAATAACTTCTTGTCCACCCCCGTCTAGAGGGGAGATTACTTTCAACCCCCCCCCCCTCCCCAACCTCCTAGAAAAATGATAAAACTTCTTACATTTGATAACTTGTTCCCGCCACTACACCTAAACTCGTAATAGAATAACGACTACCACATTTTCCCGCCAAAATGACGCTGGTCCACGGGCGCGCACTACTCAGTATTGAGAAAATCTCGTACTCGTAGTTGTCCTCGTCTCAGAATCTAAAGCTCTCTGATGTTTCGTGTGAACAGAACGAAAATCTTGAACGGTGCAATGTGAACCAAGTGTGCGGTCGAAATTTCGTCTGGTGCCCTGTGCACGTAGCTTCAGTCGTAAGCTGGAAAATGGCCATTACACTTGTAAAAGGAGCGGAAGGAGAGTGGACACTTCGACACGTGCTGTTGTCAAGGTGACAAGCGCGACCAGTAATGCCCACGGGGATCTAACGCGCTCTCTCAAAGAATAGGAAGCTTAAGCAACGGCGACGGCAACGAAAACGGCAAAAGCAATATATTTAGGTTAGTAAAAGAACAACTTTACATGTGCATCACGCTTTTTTGCCATTACACATGTCTTTATCGATATCGCACAATTCCATATTTCACGTTTTATTGAGCTTGGATACTGTCCGTTGGAATTCAAGTTTTACGTGGCGTTTCCGGTGCCGTCGGTCGCCTTCATAGTTGCTTAAGCTGCACTATACCTTGATTGAAGATTCCTACCCTATCACCTCACCCGAACGGAACTGAAGACGGACCTTAAGCGACACGTGTGCCAAAAATATTTATCACAGGACTTGAGCTATGATGTGTTTTTTGATTGTCTGAAGGAAACAATGGCCGATACAAAACAACTATTGACCTCAGATGTGACGTTACAGCTGGAGTGGGTCAGCCCGGAAGAGAGAGCAACTTCTCTTCAGTTCAACAGGGCTGTGACGTTCAATTTGTTTGGAAGTCCTTGTACGCATGCCCGAAATGCCGAGAACAAGACATTACGCGGATTAAGGGAGAATGCATAAACGGAACCCGGAACGTCACGGTACTGCGTTCTATCCCATGCTGGGCACCTGATGAATACCCTGGCGCTAATGTCACGACAGAAGAGTGTGTCACGCCAACTAAATTTGTCACGGTTACAGTCACGGCTACTGTTCTGGCTTTTAGAGAAAAGGTATCAAGCAAAGTAAACAAGATTTTGATTGGCGTGGGAGTAGTGGTGATTGTACTTTTATTGGGCGTGGCTTTGTTCTTTGTCTACAAGCATCGCACGATCAAGTATCGGTACTTGAATTGGATGTCACGTAATAAACCCATGAGTCGCCTTGAACAAGAAGATGACGAAGATCACTTTATCGAGG